CCGGACGCGCAGGCTCAGCGGCCACGGCTCACGGGCGCAGCCGCTCCGCGGCATGTGGGATCTTCCCGGACCGGGACACGAACCCGTGTCCTCTGCATCAGCAGGCGGACTCTCAACCACTGCACCACCAGGGAAGCCCTGGAATACACCTTTAATGTATAATTTCCTCGATGGTTCACCACTTGGGCTATTTTTATACAGTAAAAAGGAAATATGTAGTCCAGTTTGTTTTATACTTTAATATCTATGTAGATGCATTTCTCAGGATTCAAGTTATACTGTGTAGCCCTATCAAGTAAAAAGTGTTACTTTGTCTGCCTTTACAACAAAATCCAAGTCTGTTTATGAATTCAGCACTTAGGGAGATTTTTGATTCCTAAGTTGGGGGGGAAAAATGACAAAATGGGTAAGAAGGGGGAGCCACATGTTTTTCTCTTGGGGCTGGGGCCTCCCTAGTTTCAGTATACTTTATTATATTTCATTTACAGAAATGCTGAATTTTCTGTGTCAAGACAGAATTCTCATACTGAAGCTCTACAGCCTAAAAAGGCAAAAAGAAAGTTGTCTTCATAGTATTAACATTATTCATCACTTTTACAAGATAATAAGGGAAGAAAAATTAGGAGTTATGCTGAGAATACTATTTCAGTGAACATACCGTATATAAAACCACAGGTCATGCGGTTAATTTAGGCATCTAGAAACTACCTGTTATGAAACGTGCAGCCTGAGTGAGTGGCTCCTGCACCTTAAGAAAAGTCTGACATACTAAATGCACGCTGGGCTGAGCTAGGTGAGGGAGCGGCGGCACGCAAGCTGTGCTTTTAGGGAGTCTGTGGCTAGAGAGAAAGCCAGCACCTGTGTGGTAATCGTGTGGCACTGCTTCAAAAGTTACTTTTTTCTCCCTAGTCACCTAGTTTCTCCCAGATATTTAGGATTGAAAAAAACATTATATTTGAGGGCTTTGTCTAAATTTATAGAAGTCTTTAATGTTTCAAATGACAGTAAAAATTGTTCTAACTCTAAAAGAAGGATTTTTTTTTCCCCTTAAGTGACTTGTTGGGCGTTTCACTTAGGCATAAATATTTCCAGCAAAAGGAAGACAGGAGTTGAAAATTAAACTACTTGGGAATAAAGGGCTTTTTGATGGGAATGTATTAACTTTTTTAATTCTACATTTATCCCTATGAAAACAGGCTGTTGTTCCTTTTAAAGAATATTCCTAAATAATAGCAGTATTCCTAAAATCTGGCAAATACTTCAGTTACTTGCCATTTCCCACCCTCCAGCCCACACCAAAGGCCAAAATCTTTGCAATACGTGCTTGCCTGGGTAAAGTTCCTCATCTCAAGCTGTGTGCATATTTCTTTGCAGTTCATTATAGTATGGCTTGATCCACAAACAGTATCTGATGGCCTGCCTATAAATGAAAATTCAACATTCTGTTTTTAATAATTTGCCACCAATTTATATTCTTTGTCTCAATAAATACCTGGTCACCAATGCTTTTGTGTTTTGCCTGTTTCCTTGAGGTTTGCTCCAGAATCTCTTGCTTCCAAATACAGCTGCTCTAGCATTCTCTGCCTTCAGGAGATGAATGCTTTCAGAAATAGAGGTCTATCAAAAAAAAAAAATCATCCACTTTGAGATATCTTCTTTTAGCAAGTTACTCAGAAGTTAGCTGTAGTTGACTAAGCTTTTAATGCTTAACTAATCCTGTCCGTTCCTTACAGTTGTTAACCATTCCAATGGCAGTGCAAAGATACTAAGGACCCACATTACAAATGAGGAACCAGCACTCAGTCTCGTAGGTAGTAGAAGACTGAGCTGGGCAATTTAATCGTAGTCTGGTCTTGTAAGCGTTCCCTATTCAGACCTTTACAAACAGAACTAGGACAGGACACACAACAGGTTCCTCGAGAAACACAAAGATAATAAAGGATAAATGTAGTTAAAGTGTGGCGTGGCCTGAATCCTGTAGACAATGTGCTGTTAGGACCTCAGCCATGAACTACTATACATTCTGGAAACCACAGTGGATGTCTGAGGTAAGCTTATAAAAGTTGACCCATATTACAAGAAAATGAAAGCTCTGACATGGTATATATAGCTGGTGTGTGTAGCTAGACCCAACACACCCATTTTTCTCAATTTTACTGTACCAAATTCACCAGTTTCCAAACAGGCCCAGCACATGACATAGTGATACAATTAAAGAAAACATAAGTTTTTCCCCCAGGCTAAACCAGGAAGTTTATGGCCTGGTTACAAATTCCTAAAATTAGTCCACTTATTTCAAGTAATAAAATCCTAATTCCATGAATAAGTCCAAGAGAAATTTGTAACAAATAGCTAAAGACTTATTTCACTTGTCTGAACTGTACTTCTTAATGCCCCAAACTGTAAATTACTTAAAAAAACAACCTACCACTTGAGAGTGGCATACCTGGACCTCATGCATCAGAAGTCTTCCAGGTGCTCATGTAATGATTTGGGGCCCTACCTGGACCCAGTGATGCATCAATCTCTGGTGAGCAGGTCCCAGGATATACATTTGGCCCACCTCACCAAGCATGTTGATGTACATTCAGTGAGAACAACGGACCCTCTTGTAAATCAAATTATATAAACATACCTGGTTATTCCATCTTTCTGCATATGCCTTTCTACCTTCAGTTAAAAACAATTCCTCATTGATCCAGCACGAGAAGTGGGCTTTTATTGTTTTCTTTCCATAACTTTTCCCCTTCTTCCACAAACAGCACTTGACTTTCATTTGTGTATGGAGCATGGAACCCGAGGCTGCTATTACAGCCGCAGCGAGTGGGTCTACAGCCTGCACCAGTCCGACGAAGAGATACCTCTGCTGGGCTTAAGCAGGGACTGATTTGAGGCTGGAGCTGCTACCATGAATGTTTTCTACAGCTGCCATGTGCAGCCTGAGAGTTAAAGCAGTTGACATGAAAAGACAAGTCCTACCTAAGTCCCAAATACTCTAGCCCTAGAGATCTCAGTTCTGGGGGCCAGGAGATTTCATTTATAAAATAAGCCACCCTAAGTTTGGTTTTCAGTTACTTGCTTTAAAAAAAAAATTACTAAATAAAATGAAATATTTCCAGCACATTTTTAATGAAAAACCTTTCTCAGAATAGAAAGCCTAATATTCCCATCCATCTCGACCTAAAGAATGGCTAAGAGTGAACGAACATGCAGTTTAGTTAGGCATTAACTTCTCAGCATCAACACCCCACGTTTCCAGTTTACTTCTTTTAGCATTCACCATCATCTGCCCCCAAAAGAGGTTCATGTCAAATGTATATTATTTAATAAGGTGAGAATTATAAATACAAAATTCCTACTCTGAAACCAGCATTTGATGATGGCCTAAGACATTTTCAGTAAGAGAAACCATGTCACTGGAAACACAGAAAAGCTCTTAAACATTTTAACCACAAGTTCAGCAAAATAAAAGTCGCCGCAGAATAATCATACGCACAGATTGAAGAATACAATTATCAAACGCTGTCCCAAGAGCACTTTTATGGACCATAGGAAAGAAATCTAGTTTAAAAAAAAGTCGATAAAATAACCCAAAGGAATTCCACAAAATGACCACTGAAGTTTTTGTGGGCTATTTTGGGCATGCATCTCCAAGAAGTCTATCAATAAAACATTGTATAGTCACCTATCAAGGAAGATACAAACAGAAATGGCTGCATGTGTTTATTTTCAACTTTTAAAAAGGTATGTCAATTTATATGCAAAGTAGGTGCAATTCCTAGCACCAGACATAAAGCAGGGTTATCTTCAGACACTTCCCCTTCAGTTAGGAGTTGTCCAAATCACTTCAATGTATTCTTCAGGATTTTTCTTCTAACTGACCATTGTTAACCTTCATAGAAAGGTTCCCTTCCACTAACACTCATACCTTCACTAGGATTTAACACTAAAACAAAACGTATTTCATAACTTTTTATTGATGGCATTTATCCCATGGTTTAACATGTTAATTATACTGTAATAAACATGGCTTTAATATTAAACTTTTCCTTATTATCCAAAGTCACCACAGTCCATTTCAGTAAATATAAAAATATATGCTTAATACTTTGTACAATACTGGTTTTTGGTCCAAACAAAAACTGGATCAGAAAAGCCAATAAACTCACTTTAAGAATCCCCAATTTTTTTTTTTTAAAGATTTCCAAATGGATTTAGGCAACTTTGAATAATGGGATTTACATAATAAAATCTGAGACAAGACTAAACAACAAAAAAACTTTCTAACACAAAATTAAAATTTCAAGTTCACAGATTTATGTTATGCCAAAAAAGTACAGAAACCAAATTGTATTTACACAAGTTTCATAATAAAATAATGAAAAAGGCAAGACAGGTGATAGTCAGAAGAATGTCAATATAGAAATAGCATATAATTATTAAACAGAGAACGAACTAGATCTAACAACTCCTTAGCATGGACCATTCTTTAATCAGGCTTCCTCTATCAGAAAATTTTAGTGCACAATACACCCAACTCACTCACTTCACACATACACCAGCACAAACTCAGCATAGAAATCATTCATTTCAACATCCTCTAATCTATACAGAATTCCTCAGATATAATTACAATTTCAATGCGTTCCATAAAACGCATATCGACGCACATGGTGGTGCAGACAAAGAGGTTGTATACAAAGCCATTCTCTCGAGCTGGCTTGATTCCTGGGTTCAGCCAGCCTATGCCAGACCAGTGAATAATCTGCTGGATCATAAAACATTTTTGCTGAAGAATCAGTCACCAGTCTAGCTATTATTTTTTTAAAAGGGGGTGGGAGAGGTGAGCTTGGGGCTTCTATAAAGAAAAAAGGAGGAAAATTCCAAAATTAAAGATCTGACCTCAGATAACCCAGCACGTAGTACAATCCAGAATCTGAAAGTAGGGCACCAGCTGTTGTTAAAAGTGTGTATAACACCATCAAGAACTTTATTTCCTGCGTCTAACAGCAGTCTTTATCTTGCGACCAGAAACTGAAGTTCCAGAAGAGAATGAGTTTTTCCCATTTGACCTGTGAAAAACATAAACTCTGTAATGTGACATGATGCTCAGATGAAAGTTCACAATCATAACACTAAATGTGACTGGTGATGGGGTGGGGGACACTACTTTCTGCTACACCTCATACCCTCAAGAGAGAGACACACGCACACACACACACACCCTGCTACTTTCTGCTACATCTCATACCCGAGACGGACAGACACACACACACACACACTCTCTCTCTCCCTCCTGCTAGTTTTCTTAGGCTATGATCCTCCAAAATTGTAATATGGTAAATTGATGGAGAACATAGATTTTACCTCAACCATACTGCACCTTGGTGATTCTATACACACACACACAAACACACACCCTTACTATGTTAAATTCTCCATTTCAACAAAAAGCTCTCTTACCCCACAGAAAACGCCGCTGGAGACTGGCTAAATTGAAAGCCCCCCGAGCCAGAGGGCTGGGCTGAGGCTGCAGGTGTGCTGGCATTTGCGCCGAACGTGAACACTCCTGATGGATTATTGTTTGTGAAGTTGAAATTTGTAGCGCTGCTGCCAAACTGGAAAACAGAACCTGCAATAGATGAAGCAGAAAAACTTAAGGTAAAAATGATGGTTCTTCTAGTAATGACTCTGACCTTTACATATAAAAACCTGTAAAGGGTTAAAGCTCTTATGATCACTTAAAGCAAATTAAGTATTTTCTCCACTCACACAATATATACCTGACACCCTCAAACAAGTGACCTAACTCACCCATGACCAAGGAAAAAAGGGCAGAGTGGACTTTTCGCTAAGACCGTGGAATCAACAAACATACTTACTTCTATCTTCTTCAAAATTATGTTAAAATAACAGTAAAGGGAATTTTACAATAAATGGAGAGAGGAGACAACACAACAAAATTTTGAAGCTGGAAGGCTAACTGGAGCCAAGTACTAAACTAGCAGCAAGGGAAAGCACAGAAGTCTTTCCATTTACACTAAACATACCCAAAAGGTTTAGGTTCCAGGTACTTCCGGAAGTGAGAATGAAGGTGTGACTGAAAAATACCCCAGCAGAATGGTAGAGTATCTGTTTAAGAAGCAGATACCTAGATCAATCCCTCCCCAGCACCAAACAGGATAATAAATCTCCTCTACCCAGCAGAAGAATAGAACTTTAGTCTCTGGAGAGGCCTCTGGACCAGGGGACATCACACATAAAGGCAAAGATACCATATTGAAAACAGAAGCATTCAGAGTAGGTTGATACAGTGAATATTGAGAGCGGCAGCCTTCCGCCCTGACTCAGCTCCCATAACACTGGCAATCAGGAGTATATATACCCTTCAGGAAGGAGATTGGAAGAATCTTCTCTGGGAAATCTAGCAGTCTGAAAGGAAAGACCTAAAGATATTGTACTAGCATCCAGTTCTTCCCAAGAGGACAAGCCAGTTATTAGATAAACCTACAATGATATTCAAGATCTGTAAGCCCTAACCACATACAATGAATTATCGAGTGGTATTTGGGTGTCCTGCACTCATAAAGTTATAAGTAGAATGGAAGAAAATATTTGCAAACCATATATTTGATAAAGGGCTGATATCCAAAATACATACGAACTCCTACAACTCTAGAGCAAACCTCCCCCCCCACAACAAACCAAAACCAAAACCAAACCAAAAAACCCCTCAAATAACCCAATTAAAAAATGGGCAAAGAACCTGAATAGACATTTCTCCGGAGGCAACACACAGGTAAATATAAAAAGATGCTCAACCTCACTAATCATCGGGGGTGGGGGGGGG